CCGAGGCCGGTCCTGTCCTTGCTGCCTGTAACCTGACATGGAATGTGGGATCAGGCGCCCACCCTGGTTGTGAATACACATTTGATGGGAAATGATGAAGAGGCTGGTCCCCCATGTGCGAAGGGAAGCAGATGTGTGCAACTGTCGCTCTGAAGCAGCACCGGAGAGTCAGCTCAATGGGATGGGACGCAGACAGCGTTTGTCAGGTTACCGGGCAACTGTAAGCAACAAATACTTGTGAGACTGGGAGGCAGGGGTGGAAAAACCAGACTTTTTCTAAATATCCTCGTCACTTTTCATAATAAGAGTCCAGACCCAAGTCCTCTGGTATCCTGGGCTGTGTCAGTTAGTCCAAGTCTTGTGTCGCCTTCCATTGTGGACAAATGCTCTCGAGTCAGACTGCCTGAGTACAGATCAGGGGTAATTTATACTCTGTGAGCCTCAGTTCACTTTAGTTTACCCATCTCTAAAATGGGAAGAGTAACAGTTTTAATCTTTCAGAGGATGAAATGAGTTGAGGGTGGTCAAATTCTTAGTATTCAGCCCGACAGATAATACTCAGCAAATACGACCTAAGGTTATTGCCCTGTACTGTGAGTTTCCTCAGCAAGCCCCTCTGGGGCCAAACGCTTGCCAGAAAACTTCCGTTTGGAGACCACAGAGAGATCTTCAAACACACATGCCTCTGATGTGCTCTGGGGCTCTGCCCTGGAAGTCAAGTAGGAAGTCAAGTCAGTTCAGCTGCCAGGCACACACCTCCTCTGAGTCCATGTCTCTGGCCTGGGGCATATTGGTCGGGGGATGGGGGGCTTTCCTTACTGGCTCCCCTGATGTGAGCAGACATCCCTGGTGTTTAGTTGGGCTATCAAACAGCAGGGCTGCAGCTGGGCTGCCACTCCCCAACCTTCCTGCACCCAACCCTCCCCTCTTCCTGCCCAGTTCCCTTCCCAGCCTTGCAGAGGTTCCAAATTGCCCAGGTAGCCAGACCTAACCCGTCTTTCCTGTTGGTTTCTAGGGAAGCAGATCCTACTCTGATTCTTTCCAAAAGTTGTTTCTTTCTTCTTTTGGTCAGCTCCTTAAATTGTCTCCATTCCTGTCACTAGGTAACCTTTCCCTAAAAAAATCTCCTGGTATCCAGGCAGCTCTCCCGGCTGAGGCAGGCAGCAGCTCCTGAAGGGGCCTCATTGCTTCGGCTGAGCTCAGTGCCCTTTGTAGGGTCTCCCTTTTTTAGGTTCAGAGTAGGGTTTAACGTGTTACAGTAGTTGCTGTCCAGCCATCGAAGGTTCTCACCGTCTTTTTTTAAACGTTGTAAAATTCTTAAAATCCCTTGTGTTCCAAAGAGACGACCTTGAGGGCATTATGCTAAGTGAGATACGTCAGTCAGAGAAAGACAAATACTGTATGATCTCATTTATATGTGGAATCCATGAAAGCTGAACTCAGGAAACTCATAGAGTAGATGGATAGTTGCCAGGGGCTGGGGCTGGGGAACTAGGGAGATGCTGGTCACAGGGTACTAATTTCCAGCAGTAAGATGAGTAGGTTGGGGGTGTATGTACAGCATGGTGACCAGAGTTAACAATACTGCAGTGTATACATGAAAATTACTAAGGGAGTGATCTTAAAATTTCTTACAACTACAAAACGGTAATTAGGTGGGTGAAGGATGTGTTAACTAACCTTATCATCCTGGTAAATATTTTGTGACATATACATGTATCAGATCATCACACTGTACACCTTAAACTTACACAACGTTGTATGTCAATTATATCTCCGTAAAGCTGGGGGGAAAAGATTCCTCATGTTTTCTTTAAAAAAAAAAACCAGCCTTATTGACGTATAATTCACACACCATCCAGTTCATGCACTTAAAGCATACAATTCACTGGCTTTGATTGTATTTACAGAGTGGGACATCCATCACCACAATCAATTTTCGAACATTTTCACTCCCCCCCACCAGAAAAATGCCTTACCTTTTAGCTGTCACCCCTCAAATCCCCAGTCCCACCCCAAAACCCTGGGAAATGACTCATCTGCTTTCTGTCTCTACAGACTTGCCTATTCTGGACGTTCTGTATAAATAGAATCCATCATACGTGTGGCCTTTAGTGTCCGGCTTCTTTCACTTAGCATCATGCACTCACGGTGCTTCCACGTTGCAGCCTGTGTCAGTGCTCCATGCCTTTCTATGGCGGGATGATGATCTGCCTTGTGACTATCCCATGTTTTTATTCATTTCTCAGTTGATAGTCATGTGGTTGTTCCTTACGTTCTTTTTAATGCATCAGGGCCCAGCTCTGTCTCCAAGATTGCCTTTAAATTCCCAACCACTTTTATCATTTTGATCACAGCCCCAAATGACTTCTTGGTTTGCTTGTGAATGTAATCCCTGCTCAGCCATTATGTTCTGGATACCCATAATAAAATTAAGGGTTGGTTCTTAAAAAACAAACAAAACTTACAAGACCTGCCAGAAGAAAGGATTCAGCCCATACAGTTTCTCTTTTCTCTTCTTCTATGTAATTATTGAGGCTCTAATGATTCACTCCATTTAGATGAGTGTTCAAACTAGAAAAAGATAAAATCAGGTTTTCCCTTGAGAAAAATATGAGTGGGAAACAAAAATACCTTAGAGTTTTAGCAGAGGAACCATGCTTTCCTTTTACCAGGAACCGACTATGGGTCAGGTGGCACCAGTGACACCCTGGTTTAACCCTTTCCTGCTGGGAGCTGATTTCTCCCAGGCGTGTTGTCGTCTACCCAGGCCTGGTATGTCACCAGCAAGATGCTGCCAGTTATGCCCAGGTGGAGCCTTGAAGTTCACCAGCCCTCTCTGCAGTTTCTCTAAGTGGTTTTCAGCTTTGCTTGTGTTGAGTGTGAGAATGAGGTCAGATGGAGTGAGTGGAATTCAGTGGGTTAAACTGCAGGCCAGGCTGCAGGGCACTGGAGCTGTTCAGTTTTGAATCTGACATCCTTGGGTCATTGAGCCTCCTGTGTGCTGGTGCCTGACAAAGTTTCGCCAGGATTTGCGCTATTGGGATTTCCAGTGCTGCTCTGGGACCTTGTGTGTCCCCTCCTTAGAGGCCTGCCCTGAGGAATTCCTCCTCTCAGTGATGGTAATTATGCCAGTCCCCCTCACTGCTAGATACATTCACTTGGAGGATTTGAGGATCCACTTTAGGAGGGCAAAAAGCAAGTTAGCATGCCCTAATGTAACAAGAGGGAATGCAAACGCATAATATACTTACATTTATACACCAAACTGTGATCACAAGAGGAACATCAAAATTTAATTAAATTTCCTCTCGTTTATTTGAAAGTTGCTAAGTGAGTATATCTAAAGGAAAAGGGAAAAAAGGGGGGAAAAATGAAAAAAAAAAACTACATGTGATGATGGATGTGAACCAGACTTACTGTGGTGGTCCTTTTGCAATACATACAAATACAGAGTAATTGTGTTGTGCACCTGAAACTAATATAATGTTATAGGTCAATTATATCCCAATTTTAAAACATTTTAAATGATTTTTAAATGTCATCTCTACTAAGGGGCTCTTTGATTCTCTCCCTCTGACTTTGTGTGGAAATATGAAACAGCTTAGGCTTTAGAATTAGTAGATCTTGGTGCTTCTGGGGCCCATCACTCCCCATCTGTCTGAGCTTTTGTCGTAAGGATGACACCTCCTGGCTCACAAGAGGGTTCTCATGAGAGCCAATGGATGAGATCACGTGTGTATGACACCCAGACAGAGTAGGTGCTCAGTAGGAGCTACTTCTAAAGCTCTTCTCTTCTAAATGATTTTTTTTTTACCCTCATTCATACCCAACTTTTAGGAGGAACAGTTCGTAAGGAAGTCCTTTTCCCACAGGATGGTGCTGGTTCCTCTCTGTGCTTGAAGGAAGCTGCCTTGGTCTGCCCTGAGTACCCCGCGAGCAGTTGATAGATATCTGCTAATGTTCCGATTTAATAAACCTCAAGAACAGCACAGGCTTTAAAACGAGGTCCGTTCTCCCAAAGGGGCATGAAAACTTTTGCAGTGATTATTGGTTTTCATTTACATCCTCATGTTTGAGGACGGGAGCCAAGAATTGAAGAGCCAGAAGGAGACACCAGCAACTTAACATATGGCACAAGTGTTGTAAACATCCAAGGAGAAAATTTGTTTTTCCCTCCAGTGGCTTTCTTGGCAGAAAATTGAAAAGGCAAAAAATGGGTACAGGATTTAAGAAAACCTTGTGGTGTCTGGTGATAATAACTTACATTCCTATAATGCTCTCCAGCTTACAGAATACTTTTCCATTATTATTTCATTGAATTCTCACAAGTCCCAGAGGTAGGTTAAGACAATACTATATTACGGTTAAGGAAATGCTGCCTCTGCCACTTACCTACCATGTGGCTCTGTGGGTTATTTAAGCGTTCTAAGCTTATTTTCCTAAGTTTTTAAAATGAGAGTTTAATACTCCCTTCCTCTTAGGAGTACTGTACAGATTACATGAGATAGCTAGTGCATGAGTAATGCCAGTGACATAGTAAGCACTTAAAAAATGGGAACTGTTATATTCTTAGGTATAATAATATATAATATTATTATGTAATTATATAGTGTTATAAATATATAATTATAAATATATAACATACTATGTATTATACGTTACTTAACAAAGGTAATCAATATAATTGTATATATAATTATAAATATGTAATACATAACATTATATCATATATATAATATTTTTCGGTATAATAATCACAGCTGAACAGAAACTAGAAATGACTATCTGTCTGCCAAAGATCACGTCATTAGCAGAACCAGAATCAAATCAAATTCTTTCACCCCCAGCTTTGGTCCCCTTTCCACTATTCCTTGGACAAGATATGTAAATCAGGACTACTTCTGTGCTTCGGCTGGCAAAATCCTGCCTGGTAATTAACCTCTTACCCTGTTTCTCTGATGCACTCATCATTTCCATGCCTGCTCTTGTGTTCACAGAACATCATCAAGAAGGTGATCGGGCAGAAGTTTGTGTACAAATTTGTCTCCTTCCCGGAGATACTGAAAATGGACCCTCACGCAGTGGAGATCAGCCGGGAGAGCCTTTTGCTGCAGGACAGCGAGTGCAAGGTGTCCCCCGAGGGCCGCGAGGCGCACAGACACGGCTTGTCCGCCCTCAAGAGTGCGAGCCGCAACGAGTACATCCACTCCGGCCTGTACTCGTCCTTCACCATCAACTCCCTGCAGAACCCACCTGAGTCCTTCAAGGCCATAAAGACGGAGAAGCTGGAGGAGCAGCCGGAAGACAGCCCTCCTGTGGAAGAAGTCAGGACTGTCATCAGGTTTGTGACCAACAAAGCCGACAAGCACGTCAGCAGGCCCGTGGTGTCCCTGCCCTCCACGTCTGAGGCCTTCCTGGCCTCGTCCGTCTCCGCCAAGATCTCCTCTTTAATGTTGCCAAATGCTGCCAGCATTTCATCTGCCTCGCCCTCCTCATCTCGGTCCCCGTCCCTGTCCCCCAACTCGCCCCTCCCTGCCGAACACAGAAGCCTCTTCCTGGAGGCTGCCTGCCATGACTCGGATTCCCTAGAGCCCTTGAACCTGTCATCAGGCTCCAAGACCAGGCCTCCATCTCTTCCCCCAAAGGCCAAAAAACCCAAAGGCTTGGAAATCTCCGCGCCCCCGCTGGTGCTCTCCAGCACCGATATCGGCTCCATCGCCCTCAACAGCCCGGCCCTTCCCTCGGGATCCCTCACCCCAGCCTTCTTCACCGCCCAGGTAAGAGCCGGTGGCCCTGTGGTCCTGGCCATACCCACACTGAGTGGTTTAGCAGAAGGGAGGAAAGAGCCACCAAAGCAACTGCCTTCTGCCCTTCAAATGATAATCCTAAGGCCCTGGTAGCAAAGTCATTGAGCCATTCTGAGGGTGAATGACTTTTCCATGCCCAGGCCGAGGTATGCACAAGAGAAAAGGCTCAGGATACTGGCTATGGTGGGATGCTTGATGGGCTTCTGGCTTTGGGGACACCTAAAGCAATGGCAGGAGGGAAAATGCACACTGGCTGTCAAAGCAGGTCCGAACAGTGATTTCCTAGGGAAAGCCGGAGCAGGCCAATGACCTTTCAGAAGGGACTTGGGCTTTCTGAAAATTTTCTGGCAGGGTTCTCTCTGGGGACTACTTGATAAGTAGCCATTTGTTTTCTGTTAATAAGAAAATAGATGCTAACCAGTATGGTTGTTGCAATCATCAGCATACAGCTGTGTTGTCCTGTAGTCTTTAATAAGAAATGCAAGGGCCACAAAATGGTGAGAGAGAGATGCTTCCATAAAAAATGGTGCTAGTCTGAGAAAGCCCAGGTCCACAGCACATGGAAGAGGAAAGCAAACTTGTGCAGCAAGAAAAGTCTTCAGTGTGATTAACTACAACAAGAAGGTAGCCTTCCCCTTTAAATACAGTATTCAGATGCTCACTCCTGTCCAGCTGGCAGTTGTAGGGCAAAGGCAGAGCAGGTCCTGGTAAACCTATCTCTGCCTCCTCTGGAAAACTGGATGCGTTTCAGTGGTGGAGGTTAAGCGCATTGGCTTTGGGGTCACAGACCTGGATTCAGTTCCTGGCTACACCACTGGGTAGAAGTGTGACTATGGGTACTTGCTCTCTGAGCCCGTTTCCACATCTGAGAAATGGATTGTTGTGAGGATTAAATCGGATCATGGCGATGGGAAGAGAGCTGGCAGCAACTGGCAGGTTTGAGTATCATGTGGCTTTTGTGGCACCAGGGTGGGGACATGCTTGAGGTGGGTGGGAATTCTGTCCCTTGCCTCTGTATTTGTTGTGTGTGTCCTTGCTGCCACCATCATTAGTGGCAGCATAACTGAGCTTTTCATGTGTGTCAAGCACTGTTCTAAACACCGTCCATGCACTGTCTCAGTTATTTTTCATCGCAGGCCTATGAAGAAGATACCATTATTGTCCCACTTTTCCAGTAGAGATAAATGAGACACAGAGAGGTAAAGTAACTCACCCAAGGTCACACAGCTCAAAGGCAGTAGAGGTGAACTTGAACCCAGTGAGACTGCTCCAGAACCCATGCTCTTTTAAGTAAAATGCTCTTGGCACGCCCACTGGGAAAATGCCCAGTTGTCCCTGATAATGGTATGTCCATGGAGTCTGCAGAGCAGCTGAAAGCAGCTCTTGGCCATTTTTGTCTCTGCAGCTTCTCCCAAATGATTGTAGCCCAGAGATTTCGTGTCAACTCAGCTTGTGAGCTGGTGGCGATGAGCGTGCCACCACAGAGGTGGGGGCAAAGGGCTCAGTAATAGGTCAGAACAAGCATGTATGCTCTAAAGTCAGGCATTTTCTTACTGTCCAGTGACTAAGGACTGCTGAGTAAATGGTTCTGACACAGTAGCATCTGATGTAGCTCAGAGAAGTAACTAGAGGATCGGGGCCCGGGCAGACAGTCTGAAGCTGTCCTCCCCTGGCCTTTTCTGTGTTTACAGCTGTAAGATTTAGCGAGGTCTGTAGAGCCAGGCCCAGGCCAACTCGATTTCTGTCTCTGCTTTCTCCATGAGCCTGTATCACTGTCTGAACAGACACCAGCCTTGTAGTTGTGTCGTGGGGAAGCGACTTGGACACAGTGAACTTAGGGTGGCTCCGCGCAGTAGGGCTGAGAGGGAGTATGGGTGGGCTGAAGAGAGGGGAGGGCCTTGACACAAGACAGGGAAGAGGGTGGATGTGAAGGAATGGATGCAAAGCTAGGACTGAGAGAGGGAATCTCCTAGAATGGCCTAACAGCAGGGAGGAGAAAACACAGGAAAGCAGGATGCTTGAACAGGGCCCGTGTCTTAGCAAGGTGAGAGTGAACAGTCCTCAGCCAAGCTGTGAGGATGGGGCCTCAACCTGTTAGCCTCACAAAGTCCAAGTAAAGGGACCAGGGCTTCCTGAGGGGAGAGAGGCAAAGGGCAGAATCTGGACCCAGGTCAGGAGCGTGGAAGTAGGGGGCCTGAGCCAGGAGAGGGCCTTTGGATCAGGGGAGTGGGGGGGCTTGGGAGTCTCTTAAGTCATTAAAGAGGTCATAGGCTACCTTTAGGAGATGGCACCCTCACCGTCTCACAGGGTCAGCTCTGCACCTGGAGTTGCTGTGGGTGACCAAGGGTGAACGACCAGGAAGGAGAGAAGAGGTCAGGAGGGGACAGCAGAGACAGCAGAGGAAGGGCAGGGCTCAGGATGGGGTATCACCCAGGTGGGTTCTCTGAGATCAGACATGATAGTCAGGTGGTTTTATCTTGACTTGACAAGCCTGAAGTCCTTTAGGATTTCATGCAGGCCTGGAGTCAGTGTAGGATTTGGATTCTCCGAGAGTCCCTCCGTCAGGGTTGGTTTCAGGTGCCCCAGGGACCAGTCCCTGGACAGTTAGAAACAGTATCAGCTCTCTCAGCAGCTGGACTTCTGAAGTCCACTGGGCCTCAGCCTGAGAGATAAGCCCATTTCCCTGAAATCGCCCCCAGGGGACCAGGCAAAAGACTTCCCTTTGCTCCCTGGTCAACTCTGGGGGTTCCTCTCCACCCGAAGCGGGCTCGGGACCTTTCTCACAGGCAGCAGTGGCATCTCATTCCTGCAGCTCATTGGTTTCCCTCCTACCTTAGCACTTCCTGTGCTAAGAAACTCCACTTTCCTCTCTGTGCAGTGTGACACTGTTTGCACATAAACATTTGGTTACCTGTGGGAACCTCCTATCAACCTTTCTTCCTGGTTGGCTTCAGAAGAGATAAAAGTGTGCTGTAATAACTTGATACCCTGAAAATGAGGTTCCCAAGAACTTACAAATCATTCTTGGAATAAATAAATATATTTTATTCATTTATTCCAAGAATCATTCCCAGTTATTTTCAGCTAGAAACATGGCAGGAAGATGGGCAGGATTAAGCCAGTCTTGGCATGGCCAGGGTCATGTGGTTATAATTCTGTCCGAGGACCTAACGAAACCACATACCTTGTGTTGGCCCAAATTCAAATTTGAAGTTTCAGTCTACAACATGATAGGCATGAAAAATCATCAGCATTCTGCCATTCCCCCAACATCATAACCTTCACTCCCATCAAGAATATTTGTGGTGCACCTGCTGGGACCTGTACAAAATGCAGTTGAGATTACTCTGATGAGTCTTTAAGAAAGCAGGATTAGTAATGTAGACAGATATGATGATCACCCAGAGACCTGCCCAGCATGGACTATAAGGAATCGAAAAAAATATGAATACAAAAGCCAACTGAGTACCAAGGAGTGAGGTGGTTGGTGCTCAGCCACCGAGGTCATATTGGACTGTTGCTAGAAAAGCAAGAATGTTCTCTCTTATGGCATGAGGTACAAAAACCGAGACTGGGTTGGGGGGAAGGGGCAGGGAAGAGCCAGGATGTGAAGCCCTCCTGGCTCCAAGCCAGGCACCATGGAAGCCCGAATGGTGCCAGCTGGAACTTCTGATTCTCTGTATCTTCTGCACCTGGGTATCATCTGTCCCTCTTCCTTTCGTTTGCCTCTTCTGTTCAGTCTCTCCCTCCTCCTCTCTTACCAGTGTAAAGTTAGTTAAGAATCGGAGGAGGTTGGCTCATTTCATGTCCACTCATTTTTGCCAAGACTTCTGTTCATCTCACACTTGAGGTCTAAGATGCTGAACTCACATGTGTGCAGGCCCCGGGGTGTGAACTCACCACCAGAGTCTGAGCCTGCATGCCCCAGGCTGTATTATGAGCAGCAGCTTTGGATGAACACTAGAGTAGAGATGGCGTGCTGAGGACTGAAATGCTAAAACTGCCTTCCTGCATTTATTGGTGGATGTAACAACCCTGAGCCCAAATCCTAAGGTGGGAATTGGGAGTAAGATGGATGGGTGTGACGAGGAGCAGTGAGAGTAGACTACAGTCCTTCTGTCTCAGCTCTGGCCAGGTGACTTGCGGTAGTCGCCTTCCTTCTTTCCACCGAGCCCCATCTTTTCTGTTGATCTTCATGGTTCTGCCGGCTTCTCCCCAATTCTACCTTTATTCCATTTTCCCTACCACTAACCATCGCCACCCTGGACTGATACGGACTTCTCCACTTTGTCCTCCATCCCTTATGATCAGCACATTCAGTGATACACAGAGTTCTGTGTGACTCTACTTCTTTTTCAAAGGCCTTAAAACCATAGGTTATTTGAATTCAGACAACTCTAGGAGTTTCCACTATCACCTTTTGAGGATTTTTTTTAACTACAGAGTAGCACTGTCATAGATTCTGTTGGTATCCGTGGGAGATCAAGATGAGAGATGTTTGTTGCTACAACCTGCCCCACCATTAGTTGGGCACCTGGAGATACAGAGGTGAGCAAGACGGACACAGCTCCTGCTCTCCTGAGCTTACAAGCTTGCTGTCTAGCAGGTAAAGAATAAGGGCAATATAGAATTTGGGGTGGTGTGACATTATAGAGAACCCTGGGAACTCGTTGAAGAATTTAGACTTGCTTTGATGGGACATTAATAGTTGCTGGAGGCCTAAGTCAAGGGAAATAAAAATTCCTATTAGAATCTATCAACAAATAATTATTGAGCCATTATTTGCAAATCATAGGAAGGACACCAAAATACAAGTGCCTATTTTTATTACCTTAGAACCTAGCCATAAAAAGACACACATACAATAGCACATGGCAAGAGTCAAATACACAGCGCAGATAAGTACCTTAGGCACAGAAGGGGAAAGAGCATTTCTAGAATTGTGTTCTAGAAATCATCCTGATGATGTGGATGAGGGAGACGGGAAGCTGGAACCAGTTAGGATACGACTGTCAAATTCCAGGTGGAAGACAGTGAGGGTCCATCCCCTTTGGCCCTGACCCCATTCCACTGTGACAGCCTAACAGTGGGATGGGGCCAAAGGGGATGGATCTGAGAGAGACATAGGGACTGCCATCAACAAGACTTGGTGACTGGATGTGAAGGTGCAAGGGGAGAGCCGGAAGTTGAGTGTGAGTTGTGTGGGAGGAAGAATAAGTTCTTAGGGAAAAGTTCCAAGTCCATTTTGGGCGTGTTGAGTGTGAGCCTGAAGGATGTTCAGAAGAAACATCCAACTGCAATTGGAGCTTAAGGAGAAAGTTTGAGGCTGGAGGTCAAGTCAGGGAGTCATCAACATGTAAGGGGTGGTTCAAAACCATGGCAACAGATGAGATCACTTGTGGAGTTGGTCTAGCCCAGGGAACCAAGGGCTAGATAGTTAAAGTAGTTCTGGAATGAGTGCTGAAGGACTATTAGGACTCGAGGCAGTTGGACTGGTTTAGGCGGCAGTTGTCAAATGCCATCTGTAGGTTGATGGAGGCTTGAATGCAGCAAGAATGGAAATGAGGGGATAAACAGTTCAAGGAAGGATCCACAGGCCAGGCCCAGAGGTTGTAGCAAGGGGGAAGGCACTGTGCATCTCAGTGACTAGGATGCTGGGCTGTAGAGTCCAGGGATCGTGTCTTGTTTTATCATGGTATCTCTGGCACCTGATACATAGTATGTACTCTGTCAGTATTTGAGTGGAGAGATAAATGGTGGTACTGTTGATAGAAATCAGTCATAAGAGATACTGAATTTGGAAAGGTTTTGAGTTCATGCCATCTGGTTGAGGGGAAAGCAGGAAAGTCTTTGAGGAGGTGGAATTTTGATGCGCAGAGGGCACTCCTGGACAACACTAGCTCACCATGTTTAGCTCAAATGTGTGATAAGGTCCTGATAGGAAGGTCTTTTCCCTTGAAAATGAACGCCCGTTGCCTTTGGGCCCTAGGGCACCTCTGTCCCTGGCAGGTGAAAGGAGCAGGAAGTCTCTGCCATTCAGAGATGCCCATTTACTGAGACACTCTTTAGTGAAGGAAGGGGAAGCACTCATTTTGCTGGTGGCTTCTTTTTTAGCCCCTACCTCTTGGGCTCAGCCTACTCTCCATGACTCAAGGAGCTTATGATGAGAGGCTCTGAAAGCTCACATTGTATTGGAGATAACCCAGGGCAAGCTTTATAGGAACTTTCCTTAAAAGAGCAACCAACTAGTTTTTTCTTTATGGCCACAGGATTTGCAAGCAGAACAAGGAAGGGAGGGAGAGGAGAGAATGAAGTCATTTTACAGTATTTATTTGCATATATTATAGAAGACATTTCAAGCATATTAAACATGAGAAACAGAAGGCTACTGTATGCTGAGTACATCTTGTATCCCTTAGAAACAAATGTGCAAGTATCTCAATTCCAGACATGGGTATGAATTTTTAGACTATGAAAGTATAAATTTTATACCTCATATGCTGAGGATTAAAAAGGAATGGATGTATATGTTTGGCCATGGATGAGAGATAGCTAGCTATGTTTTGCAGAAGACTCACCACCTCTTTAGAGTTGTGAGACCTTCATTGGTAGGTAGACTGGCAGGCCCTGAACACATTGGTTAGTAAATGTTAATGTGGTATACCGTGGTTAGAACCTGGCTCCAGAGTAACATGAAAATACTAGTTTTTACATCACCTGAACTTGCAGACTTGAGCCTAACATGACTGAGAGGAACCTTAAAGTACCGGCTGACTAGCTTAGTTTGTTTCAGAACATTTGAATACTTTTGCCATATGTAGTTGAGGATTTCTCCCATGACTAGATGAAATACAGTTAGTACGTCAGGTGCACTTTCAACTAATTAGGCATTTTTTTCCTCCCGATTTTACAGATTAGGAAACTGAGGCATAGAGAGATTACCTAGCTAGTAAGTAGTGGTTCTGAGATTGGAGCCCTGGCAGAGCCTATGCAGAACTGCTAAGTCTTAACCGTTAGGCCAGATGGCCCGGCACATTTGTGATATTGCACTTGATTAAAACAAATGGGAAACTTATCCAAAACATGTATTTATCCTGGTAACCTCATAGGTCATTCAATATGTAAGAAATACTGAGGAACCAAAGACTCAAATAATTTGGTATAAATTATTTTACCTTTCAGCAGCTTCAATTTGAGAACCTTTGGATGTTTGTCTCCTTTCTGCTGGACAGAGCAGACCTTTCAGCTTAGGTGAAAGCCAAATGTTCTGGATAATTAACAAAGCTCCTAAAGCCAGTTCTCGGGAAGAAAATAACACTTTAGCATCCAAGATGATGCAATCTGAAATGCTGGCACCCTTCCTGTGGTTCTTCTTACACAGAGCACCTTGTTGACATCAAAAAACCACTGAGGGGCTCCTTCTCGTCATTAAAGGGGCAAAACCACCCTGGGCCAGGGAGCTTGCCTCCGTAGAGAATAAAAGCCATACAGACTTACCAGCTGGGGCAGGTTGTTTCTTCTGCTCTCTAGCAGGCTTGCAGGCCAGGACTCCTGCTGCGTGTGTGCAAGCAAATACAATCCTTGGCACTCTCCCCGGAAACCTAGAGTTTCGGCTTTACACCCAATCTGACAAGAAAGGATTTTTTCCCCCCTCCAAACCATTGCCAGGGAGATGAATTCTCATCAGCCCCATATCCGGAGTGAAATCTGGAAAACCCAGTTCAGAGCTTTTGATGAAGCTGCTACTGGGTATTTCTGCAACAGATCCTAAAGTATTAAAAGGCTGTTGATAGGGAAAGTGAAACTTGGGAGGCCCTTTAAAAAAATGTGTGTGTGTGTATTTAGAGCCCAAGTAATGGATGTCCACTGTAGAAAAATAAGAAAATATGGGTAAGAAAAATAAAACCCTTTTATGGGATCCCATTTGCTTGTACACTAAATCTTGTTTAATGTGTGAGGAGGAGATTGAAGAAAGCCATCTGGACAAGCTGCTACAAACTTGAGGAAGGTAATTTCCTTAGGGAAGGTAACTTTTCTATACTGTCTCCCTTTATGAAATTGCTAATACAGTTAGCATTGAAGGAAATTAAACTGTGCTGAGCCTTGCAGAAATAAGAGTTGTCAGATTTTTGTAAAATGGTGAGGCTTACTTTTCTTGGTTCATGGCTAGTGCCCTGGTCACACTGCTGATCACAGCTGGAGTCAGGCGATACCTATTATCAAATACTGTATGTGCTTTCTTTCCCAGACACCAAATGGATTGCTTCTGACCCCGAGTCCACTACTCTCCAGCATACATTTCTGGAGCAGCCTTAGTCCAGTTGCTCCACTGAGTCCTGCCCGGCTGCAAGGGCCAAACACGCTGTTCCAGGTGAGCATTTGGAAATTAACTTTTAAAGATGGAACTTCCAAGGGATGTGTTTCCCCGCTAAATCCTGCAAAGATAACATTTTCACTAAATGTAGGGCAGAACTCACTGTTAAGTTTCCAAAGGTAGTTCATGCTAATGCAGCTGCAAAAGGCCACCTTCAGAGGCAGGTCTTTTCAACAAGCCAGTGTTCTCATGTCAGATACCCATAAATGGAACAATTAGTTCTAGAATGGTTTTGGATAAGGAAAAAAAAACTTTTAAGAGTTGTATTTTATAAAATCTCATAAAAGACTTTAAAATACTAATCTATTAGTCAACATAGTGATGTCACAAAGTAAGCTGAAAAACAGTGAACAACTTTTATACTGTTACAGAAAAGTTAGCTGCATGATTTTATGAATCAGAATCAAGTTCTCCTTGTCCATAATAAAAAAGAAGAAGCATCCAGGGCATCTGGTTAAACACAAATTAAGTCTTAGCTGTTTTATCTTGCAGAACTCCCTGTACTGGGTAAGCACATTCATTGGTTGTTCCCAAACTAGAATCCTGCAGTAGCATCACCTGTTATCATGTGGAAATCAGCATTTCCTCCTGGAGACCCAAAGATTGTTAGTCATCGACCACTATGTTACTATTTGAATGTGTGAGCATTGAATACAGTAGAAAGGATCCAAGGGACAGGAATAAAGCAAAACAGGCCGAAGGGCAGACCCCCTTTCCCTGTCTGATTCTAGCCTTGTCTGTCTCATTCACCTGCATCCCAGCACGGTGCACCCTGTTAACTGCAGTTCTTTTGCTCTCATTAAATCTAGCACTCAGCACTTTGCATTATGATTGCAGTTCATAATGGGTATTTCCCCACTGAACTGTGGACCCTCAAGAGGCTAGAATTGCATTGTGTTCACTGTGGTGTACCCCTGGCATCTAGCACATTGCTTGGTACACGAAATAATGCTCAGTAATTATCACTGACTGGCTGAATGAATGGATGCCTAAGAATTCATCAAGAGGTGTCTTAAAGTTGTGTCAAAAGATGATGTCTCCATGCT